AGTTTCTGGGTCCTTTAGGGTCATGGTACTAGAAGGCTCTAAGCCTGGGGCTGCATGCATCAATCTTCCAGGCTAAATGGATGAAGCACATCTCCAACAGCAGAGAACGAATTAACACATAAAGAGAAGCAAAGACAGCAAAGGTAAGAGATGGATGAATAGATACACTAAGTATACTGAATCCTTTACTTTAAAATAGGAACATGCCAGAAAAAATACCAAGAATAGCAGTGGTATGAACAAGAGTTGTGGGGATTCAGAAAAGCGAGAAGATTACAGAAATTTTTATAGCAGACATTCATTGGAATGATGAGCGAGGGTCATTTGCACCAGAGCAGACATAAAAATGATATTCAGAAAAGAAAATTATGTAAACTCTCTAGCAGTCATTGTTGGTTTATATACCTAACTTCTTTTCCTTGCCTCTGTTATAGAGGTTGAAAAAACTAAATACTCACTTCCCTAGAATCCATTGTTGTCCTATAATTTCTAGTGATTTGATATAAGCAGAAATCTGCTGGGGTCTCTCAGGAAAGCTTTTCCTTCCTCACAAAAATGAAAGAGGCAGCTTTCCCTCCCACTTCTCCCTACATCTTCCATTTCTATCCTCTTGCCTGGAAGATAATATGTTGCTTAACTGTAGGGCAGCCATTCTGCTCTTGAAAGGGAAAGTCAGAATAGATGCAGAGAGGGTAGTCCTGATATAATGAGCCAGTGAACCACTGCCGGGAGATGGCTCCTCAGATCTTGTTCGGTGAAACAAATAAAACCTTACCTGATTCAGACACTGTTAATCAGGTTTTCTGTTACTTTCATCTGAAAGGATTCCTAACTGATTTAAGCCTGAAGTCAAGGTAATGTCGGTTTTAGGTCAAGAACAAATTATATAACTAATCTTTGTATATCCCCTTACAGTTTGTAACACATTTTTGCACACTTTACTCAGTTACTAAATTAGAAAGGATTGCAGTTAATTAAAAATAAAATCCTTGACTATCCAAGTAAATGTTAGGTTTTATCAAATGAGACAGTAAACTGGAAAGCCCATTGTAACTGTCTAAATGCTGAATAGATTCGTGCATTACTGTTAGGAGAGAGGCAAGATGCCATGACAAGTTTTTGAGAAGGGGAGTTCACCTGTGTTTATTTCATAATGGACTGTGAAAAATGGATTAAAAAAAAAAAAAAAAAAACTAGATTGGAAGCAAAGAGACCTGGGAAGAATCTCTTATTTGATGAATGAAGGATCCACTGACAAAATAACAAGGGATTCTAGCCAGGATGGAGTAAGGAGTACCAGAATAGCTCTTCAAAGTTAGAAAACAGGGCAAAATTTATGAAATATCTATTTTCAGACACTGAAACACATGCAGAGCAAACATGTCATCCCAGAAAGAAAGGAAACAAATGAGGTGAGCCCTACAATTGCCCTGGTTTTATGCCTGGAGGTACTTTCAAACCATGGTCCACATGAGGAGATCCAAGCAAAGCTGGGAGGAGGAGACAAAGATTGAGTCTGGGGAGTACAAGATGTCTGGAATTTGTAATCAGGAATGCTAGAAAGGAAGAGCTATGCACAGAAAGAGTTTCAGAACACGCTTTAAGTCTTCACCTGAATACTAAGCTGTGCATGTACAGGGTGAAGCTCCAAGAAGCTGGGCAAAAATTAATTACCAGGGAAAAAAGAATTACTTGGGAACTACAATATGAACAACTACTGGAACTCACAGGGAAAGTAATCATTTGAGTTTTCTCCAAGTAGAGTATAGAAACTTTATTAAAGACCTGTGACATAAAATAGACAGCCTAAGCCACTCCTTAAGAGAGAACTAGAAATTCTTACAGCAAAAGGATAGTCTAGAGTCTCACAAAAGTTTAATATGCTACTAGAGTAACAGCCTCCCAAATAAAGCCCAACACTCTTTAAAAATCTAGACACTCGTATTCGTTTTTTAATGCTGCCATAACAAATTAACACAAATTTAATGGCTTAAGACAATACCATTTACTATCTCACAGTTCTGTAGGTAAGAAGACCAGGTACAATGGATTTCTAATCCACCATTTAGAATTTCACAAGGCTAAAATCAAGATGTAGGCCAGGTACTGGACTGAACTTCCAAATCCATTGTTTTTTGGCTGAATTTAGTTCTCCAAGTTTTAGGACTGAAGTCCCCATTTCCTTGCTGGCTGTCAGCTGGGATCCAGTCTTTGCTCCTAGAGCAATGCTAACTCAGTTTCTAATCACTTTGACTTCCTCTTCTGCTGCATCTCTCTGACTTTAGTTGGAGAAAGTTCTTTGCTTTTAAGGGTTCATGTGATTAAACTGGGATCACCCCCCAGTAATCCAGGATAGTCTCCCTCTTAAAGTCCACAACCTTAATTATATCTGCAAAATCTCTTTTGCTATGTTACATACATATTCACAGGATGCAGGGATTAGGGTGTGAACATCTTTGGGGAGCTATTCTGCCTACTACACTCAACAATATCACTTTTACATTGTTCAGCAACCAATCAATGCATATCATGTAAAAAGCAAGAAAATATGATGTACCCAGCAGAGGAAAACATAGTCTGTTAATAGAAACAGGCAGCACATTAATACAAAGACATAGAGGGGTTAAAAATAAAAAGAGGAGAAAAGAAACACATGGAAACACTAATCATAAGAGAGCAGGAGTGGCTATATTGATATCCGATAAAGTAGATTTCAGGAGAAGAAATACCACCAGAGATAAAAATATCACCAGTGATAAAAGGGTCAAATCATCAAGAAAACAAAACAGTCCTAACTATGTAAAATGGCATAACCACGTGGGAAAGCAGTTTGGCAATTTATTTTAAAATTAAAAGTAAGTGTACACTTACCATACATACGACTCGGCAATTCCACTCCTAGTTATTTACCTAAGAGAAAGAAAACATAAACACACAAAGAGACTTTTACATTAATACTCATAGCAGCTTTATAATAGTCTCCAAACTAGAAACAATTCAAGTATTCATCAATATGTGAATGGATAAACAAATTGTGGAATATAATTCAGCAATAAAAGGAACTACTATTACAAAACATCACTGTGAATCTCAAAAACATGCTGAATGAGAGCAATCACAAAATAATACATACCATTTATTCCCATGTACATAAAGTCCTAGAGCAGGTAAAACGTGTCTTTAGTGATATAAATTAGATCAGATGTTGGTGGGAGGCTTGACTGAGAAGGGGCATAGGGAATTCTGGGGTCGTGGAAATATTCTGTATCTTAATTGGGGTGGTGGACACACTATTGTACACATTTGACAAAACTCAGCAACTGTACTTTTAAAACGGGAAAAAAAATTTTCTGTAAGTTAAACCCCAATGTGAAAGCTTTTAAAAATAAGTTAAAAATAAAAAACAAGGTGAAAGTTTTAAGGAGAGTTAAAAAGGCAAAATGCCACAGAAAGAGAGATAACCCTGAGAAATGAAAAGAACTTATTTGATACAAGAAAATCGTTAAGCCGCAGCACACAGACAGGATCTTCGTTGTGGCATGCATGTGGGACCTAGTTCCCTGACCAGAGATCGAACCCAGGCCCGCTGCTTTAGGAGCCTAGAGTCTTACCCACTGGACCACCAGGGAAGTCCCTTGTTAGTGATTTTAGAAAGCACTTTCATTGAAAAGATGGGTAGAATCCAAGATGTAAGACACTTTAGTCATATTTACTTAGAATGTGAAATTCAAGTCAAAAACGCATAGATTTTTCTATTTCAATTAGTGCTTCTCAAACTTTCATCTGCATAGGAACCAGCTGGGGGGTCTTGTTAAATGCAGGTTCTGATTCAGGAAGTCTTGGGTGAGACTCGATAGTCTACGTTTCTAACAAGATACCAGGCAGGTGAGGCCAATGTTGCTGGTTCATCGCCTACACTTCAAGTAGCAAAAACACAGACCACTTTTTCTGGGGCACTGATGGTTTATATCAAGTGCCAATTTGGTCTAAAAGTTCCAAAGGTCTATGGAATCCATTCCTACCACCGGTTACATGTAGACTGACAACCTAGTCCCCTTTCTTTGTTGGTGTAATCAGGACAGCTGTTTATGATGCTCTGGAAAATAGCAGCGATTTTACGTCAGCAGCCTTGGGTTCAAGTCCCAGCTCTGTTTCTAATCAATAGATAATCTGGGTTAGTCATTTTTAGGATGCAAAAGAAGAGAACTCTTTTCGTTTCTCTTCTCTGGCTGTTCTGAGGATTACAATAGAAAATGTAAGTGAAAGTGTTACATGAATTATAACCTTAAAAAAAATGGTTTAAAATGTCAAGCAAAGTGGGCAAAAAGAGATCAACTTTTTAAAGAGGCAGAACCTAAAGTAAGAGGTGGGGCTCCGAGATTATCCTCGTGGGCGTGGAAGGAATGCGCCATATTACAGGGGAGGGGCGCCCTATTTCTAAGACAATCTGTAAAAAATAAGCTTCTGTATTTAAGATTATCCCTAAATTATGAAACTTGAAAACGAACTTTTCCCTCATTAAATACTTCAACTGGCACCTAACTCAAAGATCAAATGATACTATTTTGCTTCAGTCTACCGATTTCACACGAAGTTCCACCCACGCATCTCTGGCCCTCTCACCCATCCACTCGTCACTTTTCTGCCCCCGCCCCTGCGGCCCCCGCCCGGGGGCAGTAGTTTCCACTACCCTGAAGGGGGAGGTGGTAACGGACTCCTCTATCTACTTGCCAAGAGGAGGGGGCGTGCGAGGAGCTACCTTCCACAGAGCGGTAAGAGACCCCGGTCAAGAGGCGCGGAATCAGGAGAAAATCCGAGTTGAGGCCGCGGCGTCGGTGCAGCAGGGGAGCGGCGGTGCCCGCGGCCGCCGAGCGAGCGCGCGGCTTCGCTATCAGCCGCGCCGTCCCCCATCCCCCCGAGAGCCTCCGAGGGATGGCACCGGCGGGAGGGGGCGGGGCCAGCGCACGGCAGCCTTCTCCGCTGCGGCCGCCTGTGCTGCGGCCGGAAACAATAGTGGATGAGCTTGGGCCGCGCGAATCGGCTGCGGCGGCGCGCGAAGCCGGACGGTAAAGCCCCAGCTCCCCTGCCCCCGACTGCCTGCGCCCCGGTCCCCGCCCCCTCGGTCCCGCCGCCTTCGCACTCTGAGCCCCGCAGCCCCTGGCGCTGTTCCGCGCGGGCTGCTCCGACGGACGGTCGGAGAAAATGACACGGGTTCGCGGCACCCTGAGGGGCAAGCGCGCGCCCCCAACGCCGGGGACCCGGCTCCCAGAGGCGCTGAGTCCAGATGGACCAGCTGCCGTGGCCCTCGAACGCCTTCTTCCTGGGTGGGAGGAAGCCCGGGGCGAGGGGACGCGGCGCTCCCGCCGGCCGGGCTCCGGGACCCCCAGCCTTGCTTGGCCACCCCGCCTCCGGCCGTGCCCGGGCCGCACAGCGGAGCCGCTGCCCGACCTTCCGTGAGGGTGCTTTGTAAGCGGCCGGGCCCCCTCCCTAGGGTTCACTTTTCCATGTGCATTTTCCTGCCCCGGATCTCGAATAGGAAACCTCGCTACGCCGAGCTAGCGAAACGCATCTGAGGTTCCCACAATGAAGTTAGCAAAGCAGTGTCCCGAGCAGATCGTTCGTCCTACCTTTAAGAGCGTTAAGTAGGTTGACCCCGGTAGCTGAATAGGTGTCGCTGCTAAGATCCTTCACCTAGTCAGGGATGGGGGTGGGCTAGAATACCCGAAAACTGCTTTCCCTCAGACCCCCTCAACTAAATAAAACACAAGACCGTAAAAGGCGCTTAGGCGTAGTGTCACTTACGGCTAGGCTTTAAGTTTTACTAGCTTTGTGGCTTTGCTCAATAAAAGTATAATGAAGTACAAGTATGGCAGTGCTTGTTTGATGGGGCTGTTGCTTTAGATAACCTGAACAGCATCCTTCTGTCTTCCTAGAAGTTCCTAATATTGCCGTTAATGGCAAGTTCTTGAAATTGTGTAACTTTCTTTTTCTGTTTCTTAACAGGGGCACTATGAACGAGGAGGAGCAGTTTGTAAGCATTGATTTGAATGATGACAACATCTGCAGTGTTTGTAAACTGGGAACAGACAAAGAAACACTCTCCTTCTGCCACGTTTGTTTTGAGCTAAATATTGATGGTAAGGACACTAGATTAATTTTATGGCGTGAACTTTACAGAACTACTTTATGCTGAACTAGTTACAAGGTAAAACTAAAATTTCTTGAATGATTGTAAATTGTGTCAAGTATGAAGTGGATATCTGTTAAAGATAAGGGTTTCTGGAAATGAAACTGAAGGTAGCACAGCTGTGAATTTAAGAGAAACTTTTTTTTTTTAACTCCCACAGCATTAATCCCGATTTTACTAATATAAAAATGAGGAATGAGTATTGACTAGTAAACTTTGCTGGTTTGAGAGCTCATTAAGTTGTCAGATTTTAACACACGTGTGTGTGTGTTTTGTTTTAATATTAAGAAATAACATAACCAAACATTTACATTGATAGGCGAATGTAATTTTATTCTTTTGGCCTACGGTGCTAGTACCTAATTGAGGTGAGCTAGAACTTTTTTCCCCAGTGCTATCTTACTATCTGCAACACATTTTAAAATTTTTAGATAACCTCTTTTCAGTGATCACACACACCTTTAAACTAAAAAGGCTTTTAAAATTTCTCAGTAGTATCTCTAAGAGTATGTGAAAAAGAGTTCTCCAAATACTTAAAAAAAAAATCTCTATTAAAGTATTTGGGTTGGTGCACAGTTAATGTGTCTGTGGGTATCAGTAGTTTGTCCCTGAGAAACATGTGGGATATGTTTTCTTAATCTTGATGTTACCATGATAAATTCTGATTTTTTTTAAATATTTATGAGTCACACTAAAAAAGAATCTTAATATTCTGGCAATAAAAAACGTTGGCCTGCCATTTGAATTTTGAATTCTAACATTTCAGTAGAGAGATTTTGTTAGATCTTTAGATTAATTTGTATTATCACTACTTGTTCTATTTATTAAATAGGAAATATCAAATGTTCTTGCCATTAAAAAAAATAGGATTATGTACCTTGAGATTCCTATTAAGGCTTGTTTTTCAGAAATTGTTGTAGGCGCCAAATTAATATATATAGATACTCTAGTAAAAGTCAAAATTACAACCATAAGTAGACTACTACAAACATGTAGAGTTAATTATATGACATTCATTTTCCATTTAATATCATATTGGTTTTGACAGTTTTGCCATTGTACTCAGAACTGTAGTTGCTAAACATGATAATCAATCGAAGATCATGGATTTCCTGTGGGTTGCATAGAACGCATAAAACTTTGGCTTTAGTAAATGTAGCATTATAACTAATTGCAAAGGGATGACTTAAAAACATGATTCTTCTGTAGCATTTAAATTACCATGTCCTTAATCATGCTAGAGTGAAAGATATTAATGTATGTTCTTTAGAAATAGAGATGGCCCTATGTATTCTTTTACATTGTAGATTTTAGTTTTAGATGGGCAAAGGCATTAGAAATGACTCAGCCAAACCTGTATTTACATTGAGGAAAACTGGCAACCAGGTAGTTGGACTGTTCAAGGTTGCTCTAGCAGTGATGGCAAGCTGTTGTTATGTGCCAGGCCTTGTACTAAGCACCTTACATGGATTATCTATTTCAGCTCAGAATAGCTCTGGGATGGCTACTATTATCCATTTTAAAGTTGATGGAGTCTAAAAGACCTAAAAAATGCACTTTGAAGTTGCTCAGCAATGAATGACAGTGCTGGGCTTTGAAGCCTGCCAATCTAGTTCTAGTATATGTGATTTTAATTCCATTGATCTACTGTCAGTAGTTATTTTAGTTGATAGGGCTAATATTAGAAACCTGTTTTCCTGAGTCCTAATTGCTCTCCTTGATATTCGGTCAGCCAACTTTTCCTTATCAGTGCTTCCTGCTAAATCATTAGTGTTGTTCATGCTGTGATAGGATTTATCTACAGAAATGTAAACTTTCATATTTGCTTTTCTAGCCTGTTTTTAATGCCTTTTAACTGGTTCTTCATCATTGTATAGAGAATATAGAAGTATTCCTCAGGTACCACCTTATAAATATTTCATCTCTGATAACATTTATCTCAATATATAAGCTTGTCATAAGCCCTATGTGTTGAAATGAGTTGTCTTTAACTTAAAAGACAAAAATTATTCTCAATTTGTATTAGAACTCTATATTCTATGTACACTCAAGGTTTTATATTTTTAAATGCCAATTAAATCTTCATAAGAAAAATTATTTTAGAATTTTCTTCTCAATTTATCTGAAGTCAATTCCTAGATCTCACAAATACAATACATTTTATATTTACTACAGTGATGAGCTTGTGCATATAACCATTTTAATATCATGAGATTTTTTCTAAGTATTACGAATTTTAGGGGAAAAGGAGGGAAATGAGAACCCTGAATTCCTCAAAATTTCGATTTTTATATCAGTATACAGGTTTTTATTTTATTATTATTTATTTATTTTTGCGGTACGCAGGCCTCTCACGTGGCCTCTCCTGTTGCGGAGCACAGGTTCCGGACGCGCAGGCTTAGCGGCCATGGCTCACGGGCCTAGCCACTCCGCAGTATGTGGGATCTTCCGGACTGGGGCACGAACCTGTGTCCCCTGCATCGGTAGGCAGACTCTCAATACTGCGCCACCAGGGAAGCCCAGTATACAGGTTTTTTTTAAAATCAATAGTAAAAAGTGATAATAAAGTAATCACATACCTGAAAAATAACAAAGTCTATTCTTTGTCTATGTCAGTAAACCTTTTGAAATGTTTTTGAAGTTTTCTTTCCCCTACCAAATTCTCAGCACAGTGCCAATCAATAAATAGATAAGAGGGACTTTAAAAAAATATGACATTTAACTTTACTATTTTTGGTATAACTTTTTTGTAGTATGGTAACGTTGCTGTTACTTGGTTTCTTAGTTTTCTAATTGCTGAGTTTGCTCTAAAGCCTTCTATTCTTTTTTCAGCTAAGAGGCTAGATAAAAATTTTCTTGGAATTTTTAGGGTAGTTTTGAGTCCACAGGTTTGTCGTAAACAAAAATATTTTACACCTTTTGGATTGTTACTTATGTCAAATCAAAACTGCTCTAATCAAATGTTGCTTATGTCAAATCAAAACTAGTCTAATCAAATTTTTTAAAATGTGCTCATGCATATATTTATAAAATGAAGATGAAAGAAAGAAATAACAAAAGACAGTCTAATCTTGTAGGAGAGATTTCATATTCTGAGCTTGGCTCTAAGTTGCCTTTTTTTCTGTGACTTTACAGTACTTAAAAGTAAACGAGTACCTACATTTCATATACTTTCAACCCATAGGTGATATATTTCAAGGACCTAAGAAATGCACTTTAAGGAGATTGGTGCAGGGGGCACTTATAATTCACCATTAGAATTACTTGTCCACTTCTAGGATTAGGAGATAGATGCTTAAACTTCTTAATACTGATGGCCTGTCCTTGACACTAAGACACTATATGCATGTATGATCAAATACATTAATATGCCTCATGGTTCATGGTGCTAAAATCTATAAAGTTATTTACCAACTACCATTACCTAGGCTATTAAGTCTGGGAGGAAGGTAGCCCAGAGTGGTCAGGAGCCAGTAATGAAACTCAACTGTAATATAAGAAAGTCAGAAATGAAACTACAGCTGGGGGATGGGAGAGAGATCCAGGGCTCCAATCTATTACTTCATACTGTCAGTTTTCATTTTGTACCAAAATACTGTGCAAATAATTAGTATTTATACCTTCCTCTAATAATTGACTTCCTTTCTATTCTATAGAGAGAATCTTTTTTTTTTTTTTTTTTTTCCTGTACCCAAGCCTCTCACTGTTGTGGCCTCTCCCGTTGCGGAGCACAGGTTCCGGACGTGCAGGCTCAGCGGCCATGGCTCACGGGCCCAGCCGCTCCGCAGCATGTGGGATCCTCCCGGTCCGGGGCACGAACCCGTGTCCCCTGCATCGGCAGGCGGACTCTCAACCACTGCGCCACCAGGGAAGCCCAAGAGAAACTTTTTTATAAGACAAGATCAATTCTTCTTATGCCAAAGTTTTCAGTGTGAGTTGATCTTGCTAGTTGATTAGTAAGCATTTTTAATGCCTACTAGTCCATCTTGGACTGTAAAATCCATCTCAGACTTCATTCTCCTCTAATTTGTTGAAGTTCCCAGGAACTTTTCTAGAAACAGACCCTAATGCAGATCCTTAGTAATCTTTCCAGCAAGAGAAGTCTATAGGTGTTTTCTCTTGGTTAAGGCGCTGGTGAACCCAATGCTCACTTTTAATCTCATTCTTCCTTGATTCTCTGTATCTTTGACCAAAACATGGTTCACATGGTCAGTAGTCTGGAAGCAGTTTGAATCTCAGTATTAAATCTTGACTTAGCTTGGAAGTCAAGATTGATTATTAACTACTCAAAGCCTGTTAACAGCTCTTCCTCTGACTTGCTTCTGGCACATCAGCATCTTTCTACTTAAGTAAAAGCCCACCACTTTACTTGTGATAAGGAGACTGTATATTGCTAATTCAATCTGGCATTAACCTCTTTCTCTTGTTTCCCGTAATGACAAACATCATGCCTTGCTATTAACTAAAAGAGCACTTTTAAATATAAAGCCTAATATTCCTTTTGAACTTCAGCTTGGCTATCTTTGATATACTTAGAAATACAGGTGAAAGGTTAATTTATTTTTTCTTTAACTGCCTTTTAATTCTACTTTAAATAAATTTGAACACTTTTTAAATGGCTCTGATAGTAAAATCTCATTATTTGGACAGGAGTAGGGAGGGTAGAAGTGAAATGTAGGTTTAATTGGTGATAACTTTAAATTAGAGAATATTTTTAAAAAATAAAACTAGGCTAACAACATCTGGTAAAAACTTGTGACTTAACTAACAACCCATATCTGAGGAGCCAGGTTCCAGATTCTTATCCCAGTCCTAATAATGGTGGCCTCTTTTTAGTTACTCCCAACTTTTTCTCCTTTTAACTTTAAGCTTTCTAATTTTAAAGTCTAGGATGAATTTAAAATTGAGATCGTACATGAATTTCAGTTGGAATGGTATATTCCATTAGGA